AAAGAGCGAGCATGTTTAGTGATGGGGTCGAACTCACAACTTGCAAATTGTAAGTCAAGAACCCTAATCACCAGGCCAAAATAAGATCGTAAGTCTATCTATAATCGTCCCCCAGTGACAAAGCGGTACATCTGCGGACTTACAACGCTAGAAACCGAGTTTCGATACCCGTGGTGGGCAGAGTACAGATAGCCCATTGTGGAGCTTTGTGCTCAACTTCAAGCAAACAAAATCTGAAATATGGTCTGTATCAGGAGATCGGCTATATATATATTTAGTTATAAGTACGTTCTAGAATGTTCCATGCAGCACCTGAACACATTTAGTCACATCACAAACAAGTGGCTGACGTTTTTTTTAAGCGCAAAGGTGTTGTTGTTTGTGAAAAACTAAACAATGAGCTATTTGCGCTCTGTGAAACCGGGGGAATCGAACCCCGCATCTTAGCATTGTAGGCCAGGAAACTTACCATCGACTCATTAACCAAATTCCTATGTTATAATTTCATACATATTACGTCTTTAAATTGGAGCAAGCGTGGCCCAGTGGTTGGCGAGCCCGAACCGTGAGTTTGGTTTTCATTCCGTTGATGCATAAACAGACTTCGCACTTTGGGGTTGTGGGTGCGATATAAAAGTGAAAGTCACATCCCACTATTCGATTAGAGTAGCCCAAAAGTGGGCGGTGGGTGCTGATAAATAGCAGCCTTTCCTTGTATAGCTTTCCATGTTATTCTGAAACAAACAGACTTCTATAAATAACTTTGTGAATAGCTCAGTAATCATTATTTGATATTCTATCATTTATGGCTTCTAGTACGGTGGGCGCTACTACTACGTTGTAACGTCGGGAAAATTTGACATCAACAAAATAATAATTTTTGGTAAACTGTACCAACTTTTAGGGGAAAAAAACTACATACTAGCTAGTGTTACACAAAAAAATTGAAACACAATGTACCGAGCCGGCATGGCCAGGTGGTTAGGGCGCTCGACTCGCAACCTGAGGGTCGCGGGGGCGTTATAATGTGACGGTCAATCCCACTATTCGTTGGTAAAAGAGTAGCCCAAGAGTTGGCGGTGGGTGATGATGACTAGCTGCCTTCCCTCTAGTCTTACACTGCTAAATTTGGGACGGTTAGCGCAGATAGCCCTCGTGTAGCTTTGCGCGAAATTCAAAAAATAAACAAACAAACACAACGTACCTGGAACTGACGATTTCATCGAAGCAACGGAAACTACGTCATAACCAGCTTCTAACAGAGCCAAGACCACGTGACATCCGATAAAACCTGAACTTCCTGTTACTAATATATGACCTTTGACATGGTGCTGAGACTCCATGCTTCAAAATCGACTTCTCCTGCTCTAATAAAACAAATTCACATATAAACAAAGTTCAATTTGAATTTTTGTACGGACATTATTTTATGAAGAGTTATTAATGTTTCTAGCTTCTAGGTATGATAATATTAGAATCAACTTACTCTTGTGACAGTATTCAGTTTGTAAGAAAAGCGTTCTAATTTTGGTTGAAATAAATATCTTGAAACGACATTTTCATTATGAACACGTGTGAATATTACACAATACATAATAGAGGGACACAAATAACGAGTGAATATTACACAGCACATAATAGAGGGACACAAATAACGTGTGAATATTACACGACACATAATAGAGGGACACAACGTGTGAATATTACACAATACATAATAGAGGGACACAAATAACGAGTGAATATTACACAATACATAATAGAGGGACACAAATAACGAGTGAATATTACACAGCACATAATAGAGGGGCACAAATAACGTGTGAATATTACACAATACATAATAGAGGGACACAAATAACGTGTGAATATTACACAATACATAATAGAGGGACACAAATAACGTGTGAATATTACACAGCACATAATAGAGGGACACAAATAACGTGTGAATATTACACAACACATAATAGAGGGACACAAATAACGAGTGAATATTACACAGCACATAATAGAGGGACACAAATAACGAGTGAATATTACACAGCACATAATAGAGGGACACAAATAAGTCCCGTCCACTTCATCATCGAGAGTTGCAGTAAAATTTTTATAAATTGTTTCTACTTAATCTTTCCTTCAGAGATGCGATATGAATAATAAAATAAATGTGTTTTTTTTCTTCTAGTAACCGATTCTTGTTGAAAGTTTTTTTCTGAAAATGACCCGTGTTAAAAAATACGTACGTCTATCTTGTCGGTCACGCTGACGAATTTTGTTTATTTGTAATTAAGCACAAAGCTACACAATGGGCTATCTGTGCTCAGCCCACCACGGGTTTCGATACCAGTGTGGTTTAAAAATATTAAAACTAATTGACGACAGTGTATTCATGTGTAAAACTAACCAGTACTGCAACCTTTCATTTCCCCTAACTAGTCGGTTTCGATACCCGTGGTGGGCTGAGCACAGATAGCCCATTGTGTAGCTTTGTGCTTTATTACAAATAAACATGCTAAGTCATACCAGAGCTCTAGTGCGGTATCCCACAATCCTAAGGTTATCTACGTCA